TTTTGTTTTTTACTGTTGTAGTGAAATGATGTGTTGAATGTGGATTTTAATGATGTGAYTGCTGTGCTTCTGTCCCTGCCAGGGGGGCAGGTKGTGAACCTGATGAACCAACGCCTGCAGACTGGCTTCACTGAGAGCGAGGTGCTGCAGATCTTCTGTGACACCTGCGAGGCCGTGGCCAGGCTGCACCAGTGCAAGACTCCCATCATCCACAGGGATCTCAAGGTGAGCTGTGGCTGCAGGGGTGCAGCAGGGAGGGTGCATTCTCCTTGCCGTGTCTGCCCACACCCCAGTGCTGTGCTTCTCCTGCTGCTAATGAAGGAGTATGGACATAAATACACCTCTCTGCTGGAAGATAAAAAAAGAAATGAGTCTCTCATTGCTACTTACCATATGTTTGCCAKCTATAGATGTACTGAAACACAAATGTTTGTGAATAATTGTGGCTCGTGCACGTGCCAGAATGTACCTGATGAATTATTCACAGTGACCTGAAAGACTGCTGATTTAAGGTAGCTTACACAAAGTTTGCTGTGACGTTGTTTCCTGGACCCAGATTAAAAGGAGCCCTCCAGAAATGTTTGCCTTGGGGCAGGAATCCTTTTGGAAGTGGAATCTGGAGCTCTGACCATGAAAGTGTATTGTAAAACTCTCTGTGCTTAGCTGGGAACAGAGCTGGGCCAGCAGGGACAGCTCAGGAAAAATCCCATGCCTGTAATCAAGCAAACAAAAAGATGTTCCCTTTGCTCTCATCGAGCTCATAAAATGGCAGAATAAAATACTCAGCCAAGGAGGAGRCTGCCATGTGCATTTGAAATTCAGATGTGCTTTGTGGGGCAGGTTCTATTTTCAGAGCCCTCACAGATGTTTGTTTGTGCCACTRGCCATTATTTTATAGGAGCCAGAGATGTCACGTGTGCCAAGGAGTGCCAGGTAGAGCAGGGGAAAACATCCTCAGGGTTTGGTGTGCKCTGGCATGTTTGAAATGATGGTGATGCCACTGCTCAGTCGGTTTGGATATAGAAACAACTTGTGTGTCTCTTTCTAGGGAAAACAGGTGATCCCTTACCAATCTGAGACCTGGATTTAAAGCTGTGAAATCTGTGGGCAGCTTGCAGGAGTTCGGATAGGTCGGGAAAACTGGGCTGAGAGGATGAGGAACAGGACCCTCCCCAGCTGACATTAACCCTTGCCCTTCTTGGTGAATCCCTGAGGAGTTTAATGAAGAACAAACCCTGTGTATTGCAGGGAAATAAATCTGAGACATCTGTGCMGGATTAGTGAGTTGATCTGGAGTGTTCCTTGCCCTGAGTTGCAGCTGAAATGAGCTGTTAGGGGCTGGTGTCCAGCACATCGTTGCCTGCCTTRGTGAAGGGAGGTTTTGCAAGGCCTGATTTATTGTAGGCTGTGTCCAGAGTCAGAGTAGGCTCTTCTCTGCTTGAAGACATGTTTTGTGTTTGAGTAGTGTATTGTTTCTGCCATGGTGACCTCTGGGGATCTAAGTACTAAAACAGAATTAATATAATATTATAATAATAATAGAATAGACAGAATTAATAATATAATACATATTTTGACTTTGTGATAAAATGTAATACTGTGAGGGAGAGTTACAAAGCCAAGAGGGATTATGGGCCAGAGAAGTTCTGTACAAGTTGTGGGTGTAAGGAAGGACATCCATGGTGTAGGTATTTTCTTGGGGTGAATATAATGCTGCTGAAAAGGGGGCAGATGTTGCCTTTGCAGGCAGTTGTCTGGGGCTTGGARGCCTTTTTTGCCTTCCAGCTCTTTGATGTTGCTCTGGTGCTGGAGGTTCCTGYCCAGAGGGCTCTGCCAGCAGGAGGGATCCTGTGAATGAGCTTTCGGCCCTTTCACACAAGCGCAGCTGGAGGAGTTTCAGCGGCCCCTGGCTCTGGTTTTGAATTAACCCAAAGGCTTTGAGTAAAGCAGAGCAGCCTCCTGCTTGCTCAGTCCCCAGCAGGTGGGAAGTGACCAACAGCTGGGGACAGCAGCATCTTCACCCAGCATGTCTGTAGGCAAAAGGGGACATCTCCCTGTGAGTAAGGACCCAAAAAGATCCTGGGTGTGCTCAGCTGTCCCCTCCTTGGGCTGGTGGTTGGTTCAGGTCCTGTGTCATTGTCTGCTGTGCTGTACGGGCTGTGATGTTTAGTTTCATGTGCTTTGGTTGCCAGGTGTATATTGGTGCTTAATTTTCCAAAAATGAGGAAGYCCCTTGTGTGCTGCCTCTGCCCCASTTWGGACCCTGTGAGGCACTCAGCCTGCTGGCAATAGGTTTGCCTTGAGTGGTTACCTGTGCTTGTTCTTGCAGATATTTTCCTCACCCTCAGGGTTYAAGTACCACTGCTGTTGCAGGGCAGTCCCTAAGAAGTTTGTTTTTCTCCTCCTCTCTGAATAATAAGAACAATGCCTGTCTCTTTAGGGTGGGCCTTTTCACAGCAAAGAACAAATGRCCAAACCTTATGGCAACCCGTTATCATGTGCTTGCAAAGTCCCTGCTGCTGAGTCAGGGTCTGTATGAGAAATTAAACTTGTCAGACCCGAGAGGAGCAGGGTTTAGGGAGGTGGAGAGAGGGAAAAATCTGCCTAGGGCTGATGATAAAATGACACAACTACCCTACACCTGGTGGCAGTTGTTTGCATGACTTGTTTCGTGTTTAACCTTGTTTTTCCAGTCCCACATCCCTTAACTTGTGTGGTTCAAAGCACCAGTTTAGGACCAGCTTTGATTTCTGCAGGGAGAGGTCTMCTATTTCTATGAGTGATGCTTATGCTAGTCTGAACCCACCTGGTTGCAGGAGCAGGTGACTGGATGGCAGATGAGAAGATGATTTTTCCTGTAGCAGACACACAGCAGGACACACCCAGAAACTGTGTCAGTCAACCCTGAGGATGCTGTTGAGCCAAACYTCTTCTTTCCTTTCCCTACTTTCTGCAATGCCCAGGAGTTTGTGCTCTCAGGATGAGGGTGTAGTTTCTTATTCCTGTAGGAGCCCTCACAGTGTTACCCTGCTGTGCTGTTTCCATCTCTCTGCCTTCCATCAYTCTTTGTAATGCCAAGTCTTGCCCTGATGCCACCAACAAGCCTTTGCCTGGAATTTGTTTGGAGAGGTGTGATATGTCAAATTACTCAGTCCCCTCATAGTAAACCCTCGTGTTGKCCATGGCAGGAGTGTACCAAAATCAGTCAGTGCCACGTGGCATCCACTCTGTGCCATCAAACACTGCCTCAGCTTTCAAAGGTAAATMGTGAGCACTGCCAGGGGAGAGCAGGAAGTTGAAACATCTCTGAATTCAGAGACCTGACAGTGCTGGAAAGCAGCCAGGAAGTGTGTCCTGGTCATACATCCCTCCCAGATCACTGCCTGAGCTTAGGAATGACTGACCTTGAAGCCRTTGCTCTCAGGAGAGGGTCATGGGTGTAGAATCCATAACTAAAGAAAACCTCTGTCCTTATCCCTCCCCAGCATATCTGTGTAGTGGTTTTTATTACTTTAGTTCTGTCCTAGCAAAAAGAGTATTTATTTTGGAAAGACTGAAGCTAACTACACCCTGTAACCAGCAAAACTTAAGACAGCTCATCACCTCTTTTAAAGGCTTTTGTTGGGGGACTAAATCTTACTGTGTTGGGTGTGTCAAAGGCTGCAGCCAGTTCTCAGCAAGCTGGAGTGCAGCTTTCTGAGTGTTTGACCAGAAAAAGACACCTCCATACTCCTTTTAAAGACACTTTTCTTTGGTCTGGCAGTGGGTAGCAGTAATTTCTTTATTTTGCAGTTTATTTTTTCCTTCTCTTGGCATTTGCTGACCAAACCTCRTTGCTGAATAGTCCTGTGCTGATGTTTAACAAACCTTACAGGCTGTTTCAGTGAAAAATCACCTCAGATTTCTCAGCCAGATAAAGGGGGAGGACTCTTGGGGAAACGTTGGAGGAGTATTTGCTAGGAGCAGGGAATAACGCTGCCAGTGTTGATCTGCTGGGGAGAACATCTGTGTGCAGTGCTTTATTCAAAGCAGATGGATGGCAGAGGGGGAAGGAGGGTATTTAACCCTTGCTTTCAAGCCAACATTCTCCCCCTCAGCTGCTCTAATTTGGCTGCATTTTCTGATACTTAAAATGCTGACTCCTTTTTCTTTCCKTCTTGTAAAGATCATCCTTGTTGGGGAGCTCTCCTTCCAAAGGGTTTTGTTAGCAAACGCTTAGGTGGTGATTTTTTTTGAGCTGTATGAGCAGTATGTTTTATCTCGTTGTATCTGAGCATTTGACACTGATTGAAGATAAAGACATAAAAAAAAAGGTGTGTTCCCTCAGGAGAACGTGCTGTTAAAGCTGCTGTGCAGATGAGGAGTTGGAACACAGGGATGCTCTGCCAAAGCAAAGATCTCAACACAGGGTTTTACACATTTTAAGTGTGTYGAAACAGGCAATTGTCTTGGTGCATGCAAAGTAGATTTTTGTTAATGCACAATTGTGAGTATTGAGGAGAAGGTTTCTTCTGATTGTATTTATTGGTTTTATTTATTTCAGCTGTCTCAGGTGTTTGTTTCATCATTTGTTTCAGTTGCCTCTTTCAATATTTGAAAGAAAGAGGTGTTCTCAGCAGTCTGGGGGAGCCTCTGCTGCTGAGCCCCTGTTTGGGCACTGTAAGGCACCCAGCAGACTCTGAGAACAAACAAATAAATGTGAGCATGAGCTGAGCTTTGTTTTGAATTAGACCCTCAGGCACAGGTACAATGCAGGCAAAGACCTGGAGATGTGTTTTAATTTCATAAAGGATGGAAGTGTGTGTGTTGTTTGCCTCTCCTCTGCCCCACAGACAGTGAGGAGTTACTTTGTAAAGCTGGGGACAGCTTGGATTTCCTGTTCTCAGTTCAGATACCAGACCACAGCCTCCAGTAGCTCAGGAATGTTGAACTCCAGGGGCACTGGTCAGAGTTCTTGTCCTGACGTCTTACAGGAGGCAGAGAAATGTGCTTGCAGGAGAGAAGGGAGGAGTGGCAGCATGGAAGGCAGTGTTATAACTGCACTTCCATGATTTGACTTCTATTTTAGGAGATGTGACAAGAGTTTTGATGCCTGTTTTCTTTGCTGTCACATTAAGCTTTAATGTCAGATATGTCTGATATGTCTTCAGGCACTTAAAACCTTGACTCATTTGAAAAAAATCCCAAACTGAATATTTTTTTTGTCTGGGTGATTCTGTGTCTGTCTGTGATGCTTCTAGGTTGAAAACATCCTGCTGCATGACCGTGGCCACTATGTCCTGTGTGACTTTGGAAGTGCTACAAACAAATTCCAGAACCCTCAAACAGAAGGGGTGAATGCRGTCGAGGAGGAGATCAAGAAGTAAGTGTGCTTTGCCTTTTCAACTCAGCTGTAGTTTGTATTTGAAGGGTATTTTTTTCTTGTGCTGGGATTAATTTTATTCAGCCTGTTGCAGCAGATTGGCTGTGCTGCATGGCAGTGTCTGCTGYAGGTGAATGAGTGCCCTGGGGAAGGTGAAACAATAAATTGAGCTTGATGTAATTGCTTTGGACCTGGAAGACTGAGATTAATGCAGAGAAGCAGCCCCTCCTCCATGAGGCACTGACCTGTTCTGTCCTGTGCAGGGTCAGGCTGTCTCTGTCCTTCATCTGTTTTGGCTCCTTTGAGCTCCAGGCAGGGATGGCACAATCCCATTTTCCCTGAGCTCCTGCTCCCCATGGATCTGGGCACTGATTTGGGAGTGTATGGCTGATCCCCGGCTCTGCATGGCAACTCTCAGGTCTTGGAGGTGTAAATCCAGCTCCTCCTCCTGCCCCATGCAGGCAGAAGGCATGGCAGCATCTCTGGTGCCCCTTGGTGGTTTTTAAAAGGGGGAGTTCACCTGCAGTTCAATAGAACCTGGATCAGGGATGGGGCACTCTCCAGGTCCTTGGTCTTGCTTTAGTTTTGAAGTCAAACTGCTGCTTGCCACTCCTGTTAATACAACYTTCTGACTACTTAGCAATGTGTATGGATGACTCTTTTTTTGTTGGGATTCAGCTATACCTGCCTGGATTTCCTAGATTTGTTTGACTGGAGTTTTCRGAGTGCTCCTAATCTGGCATTACAGTCCCCTTGGAATGCCCTATTTGTACACTTAAGCTTACAAAACCTTTGCCTTTAGCAGTKCTTTCCTGGGATCAGGATAAGCAGCAGGCAGAGATGATAGACCTGTTGGTAGGAAATCTTACCAGAAGAGCCTTATAATCTGTGGAGCAGTTTCCAGCTTTTCTGCTTGTTGTGATCTGTTAAGATGCAGCAGATTCTTGCTGTAGTTTGAGGGACACAATGACTCTTCACTTACTTACTGTGGCTCTGAGCAGGAGTCCTGGTGTGGAAATCTATGTTTTAGGATCCACATATCCAGCTAGTTACAATCTCTGTAATACAGTTGGCCGCAGCCCCACACTGAGGGCATTGAAGAGGACATTTGATTACTGACCTTATTAATGCTTTGAATCCTTGACTGTTTCTGTTCTGGTGCTCAAAATGACTGTACAGCTTTGTGGTGAATCCTGCACTTTAGAAAGGATTGTGGTTACTGTTTTGACTTCCCAGGGCAGTCTGAGGGGTGTTTTATTGTTTGAGGTATGTAGCAGGTGATGCTGTTAGAAGATTTTTCTGACAGATACCTTTAGCATCCTTTCYCTAAAATKATTAGAGKAAGAGTGAATTTTGAATTTTTGGGRCTATGACTTAGTGAAAATGCATCTGATATCCCTTTTGAACTCCCTGAACCATCCTCCCCTGCAGGTACACGACGTTATCGTACAGAGCACCAGAGATGGTCAACCTATACAGTGGCAAACTCATCACTACAAAAGCAGACATATGGGTACGTATGGAAACCACAGGGCACCCTCCAGCCAGGCTGCAGCTGCTTTCATTCCATGGCAGGGAAACTGGGTTGGCCTCGTTTTCTAAGAGCCTGGACAGTTTCTGAATAAAGAATTCCTCTTATGATGTGTTTGATGAGCTCCTGCTGAGCMGGGAGGCACTGGAGAAGATGTGTGTGCTCCTCCTGTGTGGTTTGAGTTTAGAGATGTATGAAACTCGAGGTTTGAATAGGGCAAATGTGATTTCATATCTTAAGAGTTAAAACAGAAAATTCAGAGTATTGTGGCTTCTTGTGTCTGGGTTGGGTTGTAAGTATGTGAAATCAAATTCTCAATTCTGGTCAGAATTGARKAGAAACCTGAGAAAATGGACCTTGYCCTCAGCAGCAGTAGTGTGCTAATCCTGTGTAACACAGGGCTGAGTTGTCAAACTGGCCAAGGGCCAAACTTCTACACTGTTTCTGATGATCAGAGCAGTCCTGCCATGCTCTTCATGGTGAGAGTAAAATCCAKCTGTGGTGGAATGCATTCCTGGCTAACCTGATCAGGCTGGGAAGGCATCTTTGGGTGGGACATAGGTGAAGAAGAGCCTGTGCTGTTTGGAGTGTAGTGGCAATTCAGCACATGTTTGTAAGTGTTTAARATACTAATTGGGAGCATGTTTTGTGGTTTTCAGAGCCTGGAGCTAGGAAGTAACATGGCAGAAGCAGAAAAAGAGGGTTTTGATGTATTTTCAGTAGTTCTGTGTATACAAGAGGGAGAATTGCTGGTGTTAGATCTTCTGGAAGAGTCCCTTGTCCTCAGTGATTCTGGGTGGAACTGGGGAAACAGCAGCTCCTGTAGGAGCACGTTTCACCATGGGCTCTGTAGGATCAGACCCTGCATTGTGCAGGGTTACTGGCCTGGAGTGAGTAGGAGGGTATGTCACAGCTGGGACAGCAGGAAAAGACAGTCTGGGCCTCAAAGGCAGTCAGAGGAGAAGCAGGATTTGCACTCCTTCCTGTGATAATGTGGRAAGAAGGAGATCCAAAGGCTCTGCTCTTCCTGGCATGGCAGGACTTCTGTTCCAGTGACATTTGGAGCATTTCCAGAGCTGTGTGTRGTGGTGAGCATGGTGTGGCCTCAGCTTCCAGGCCTGTTCAGTGCTTGTCCTGATGGAAACCTCCCTTTGCCTTAAATCTTATCAAGATTATTTTAAAGCAGAGAGCAATTTAATTGTGAAACCCTGTGACAAAAGAGATGAGCTGATCATGAGTTGCTTAGGATTAGGAAATGTTTCTTGTTCCCCCCTCTGAGATGGTAGGAGTGTTTCATAATTAGTCCTTTGTGCAAAAAACTGTTTTCTTTTGCAATAGGTGGTGGTTCTTGCAGCCAAAAGCAGCATGGCAGTGAAGGGAAGGGTGGTAGAGCCTGGCAGGCTGCAGAATGAGCTGTACTTCCCTGGCATTTATTTATAACAGTTGAAAGGTTGTTTCAACTTAATCTTGAAAACAGTTTGGGTTTCTCTTTGTCAGAATAAATGTATTAAGGATGATGGTTGCCATTTATTTGTGCTATTACTTTACTCTTTCTTCCCAGTGTGTGGTAGAAAGACTTTGCCTGTTTAATGACTGGAAGGGTCACGCTCTGCAGAGCTGTGGGGAGTGCAATGATGAACAATCCCCCACATCAGTGTCTCAGCCTAACAAGGGAGAGCTCTGCATGGATTCAGCTTCCCCTGGAGCTGTGCCTGGCTCAGGTCTCTCCCAGGGTGTTGGTGCAGCCCTGACATCACCAGGACCCTCCCTGCTTCCTGCCTTGCTGTTGGAGTTGTGCCGTGCCCGGCTTGGCTCTGTTTGGTAAATCCTTGCCCTGTTGTCTCTCTCTCTCCAGGCCCTGGGCTGTTTGCTGTACAAGCTGTGTTACTTCACCTTGCCCTTTGGGGAGAGCCAGGTGGCCATTTGTGATGGCAACTTCACCATTCCAGACAACTCCCGGCACTCCCAGGACATGCACTGCCTCATCCGTGAGTGTCTGACGGTGCCATAACCCATTGCCAGAGCTCAAAAAAACACAGGGGTTCTGGTCTTATCTCCCCTGTCCYTACAGTAAAACCAGAAGTTTTTCTGTTCTTTTCAGGAAGCTTGCTTGCACATGGGTGGTTAAAGTGATCTTTTAGTAGCTTAGGAGATCACTGTTGTAGAGACAGTCATGACAAAGAGATTCYTGTTTGGCCAGGCTGGAGAGAGCTCTGTGGAAAGGCAGCAACACAGACAACCATTTGGTTTGAGTCCTACAGAAATTTGCACAATAAGCCTATTTATGCAGAAACGTATTTCTCCAGTAATAAATCTGTTTGGGTAAGGAACTGAAAAGACCGCAGTGACTTAGGCTAGTGATAAGAATTCATCTTCTGTGAACTGGGAAACAGAACTGAAATGATTTATAAATAACACACTGACTATAGTGAACGTGCAATAAAGTGTACAATGCACTACTCTTGGCAAAGCTGGGGCAGCTCTCTTGTTTCCAGCACAGCATTTGCTTTTTCTCTTTTCCTAGCCACAGTCTTGATTCACACAGAGTTGGGTGTGTTTGCAGAGCAGTCTGGTATTTTCTTTGCTTATGTGGGGGTATCTGCAGTGGTGTCTGTGGCTGCCCCTCTGACACTCTGGAGCTGGATCGAGCCCTTTTCATGTGGGTTCACTTGGAAGTGCCCAGTCCAACCCAGTGCTATTCCCTGACCAGACAGCATTTCCCCTCCTTGCCCCAGAGGCTTTGGTACCAGCTGCACATTGGTCACAGCTCTGCTGGAAAATATGTCCTGGTCCATCCTGACTGTCCTGCCCTGTTCCCAGCTGAGCCCACAGTCAGCTCAGCCCTGCTGAGCCTGCACTGACCTTATGCTTTGAAGGAGACGGGACACCCTGGCTGTGCCAAGTGTAGAGTCATGGAAGTGGTTGGGTTGGAAGGGACCATAAAGCTCATCCAGTTCTACCCCCTGCCATGGGAGGGACACCTTCCACCATCCCAGGCTGCTCCAAGCCCTGTCCATCCTGGCCTTGGACACTTCCAGGGATCCAGGGGCAACCACAGCTTCTCTGGGCACCCTGTGTCAAGGGCTCAGCACCCTCAGCATAAAAAATTCCTTTGTTGTATCAAGCCTGATGTGCTGCCACAGCTGCATCTGTGTGTCCTGTTGCTCTGATATTGCATCTCTGTCTCTTCAAGGGTATATGCTYGAGCCAGACCCTGATAAGAGACCTGACATTTATCAGGTCTCCTACTTTGCGTTCAAACTGGCCAAGAAGGAGTGCCCGGTGCAGAATGTTCAGGTGAGCACAGAGGAGTGGCCTGAGGGAGGGCACTGGGAGGGGCTGGGGAGGCAGTTGCTGAATATTGAGCATTTGGCTCTATTCTGTTGCTTGTTCCTCAGTTCTGTAATTAGGAGAGTCTTCRTGTTTGTAACTACCATGGCTGTTTGGTTTGGATGTTTTGAGTCGGGAATCAGAGTTTCTCATGTTACCCATTTCTGTTTTTCTCTAATTTACCTCCTCACCCAGTCACCAGTGTGAGGCAAACCAAGAGATCTTGTGCATGTGAACGTGRAAAATTAGGCCATGTTTGGGAAACCAATTTGATTTTCAGGCATACTCATCATAGCATGTGTAATTTGGCCTGCACTTGGGTTTAAACACAGGAGTTCTGGGACTTGGCATTTGAACTGCATCAAACTTTACACAACCATCTGCCCCTTCTTAATGTGTCTTTAAAGACTTCAGCTGAAAAATAGAGTTGATARTTGTTTTCTTATGTTGTTATGGACACCTGTAACAGATACTTTATTTTGTTGTTTCCACATAAATAGAAACTTGGGGTTTTTTTCCCCCCATGTTCAGGTGCTTTATGRTCTTTATGAATAAGAGATGGTTTGGGTACTATTATGCCTGTATTTCTATGGCATCATTAATAAATATTGTTACCACTGTCCCTGGGTTGTCTTTTCAAAATACCCAGGTTGTGCTGTGGAGCTTTGTGTTCATACTCCGTGTGTAATAAATGGTCAGAAAGCTTAGCCCTCTTTTCATCCATTATAAAGACTCTCCCAAACTACTTGCTTCCCATGACATGAATTTTGGGATGTTTATCATGTGTCCAGCATGAGGAGAAATTGTTTTGGGGATCTCCAAATCTCCCTGTTTTATTGTGATGTTTTTGCACATTATTTCTGACTCTCTTTTCTGTCCTTAAAATGCCAAATTCTGTGATTTTGGGATCTGCAGAACTCTCCAATCCCTGCTAAACTCCCAGACCCAGTTAAAGCAAGTGAAGCTGCTGCAAAGAAGAGTCAGCCAAAGGCCAGGTAACTCCACCTGCTTTTTGCTCCCCTCTTTTGTTGCCTGTTGTTTCTCCTGTTTATTAGGAAAGGTGTATTTAACTCCTTCCTTTGGGACTTGAGTTGCCAAGTGGGGACARGCACTGCGGTCCTGGGGCTTCTCCAGTGCCAGGAATGGTCCTGAGCTCATGGGTCTGAAAGGCAGCAGATGGAGATGCTGGGGCAGTTTGTCTGCAGGGAGATGGGATTTGGCCACTGCTCAGCAGGGCTCAGCAGCTCTTCATCCCCAAGGCTCTGTCTGGCAGCAGCCCTTGGGTGAATCCAGTGTGTCCATCAGAAACGTGGGAATACCTGAGAGAAGAGTCAGGGCACAGACTGCAGCTGCTGCAGAGGGTCTGCAATTGGCCCAAAGAGCAGGAGAAACTGCATCAGGCTCTGCTGCTGGGTCTGACCCTCACACACCATAACCTCACCTGATGGGTGCTGCACGAACCTGCTGTGATTTCTGCAAGAAATGTTTGCTTGTAATTTCTTTGTGGGGAAAACACAAAAGCCCAGTTGCCTCCCTCTGAAGAGCACAAGGAGTGTGGAAACCACTGTAGTGCTGAAGGTTTTCTGCTGCTGCTGCTTGCTCTGCTTGTGTTTCTGTAATTGAGACTTCCTATCTCTGCTGGACAAATCCAGTCTGTTATCACAGTACAGAGGGAGCAATGGGCACTCCAAACACAGTTTTCTTGGTTTTCTTCAGTCTCTAAAGTGGAATGTCTCCCAGAAGCCTGCCCTTGTGTTCATGATTGAGCACAGTTCCTCTCCCATTAGTCAAGTTTGTCAGCTATCAGGAGCAATGTGATATCAAATATTCGTTAGTTATCAAGAACAATTTGATATATAAACCACTGTGTTCACAGAAGCCTGAGGRGATGGCTGCTCCTCTCTCTTGCTGTGCATTTTTGGAGCTCAGTAAACATTGAGCAGMGATCAGAAGAGTTCAGTGACCTGATTCTGGGGTAGATGTAGCAAAGTTAAAGTACATCTAAAGATGGCAATTYAGACAACTCTGCCCAAAGGTACCAGCTGCTCATGAGCTAATTTGTGTCCTTCATGTGCTCATTCAGAGCTCTGAGTGGATTCAAGCAATATGTTGTAGGAAATAGTTGAATAAGTTGAGTGGATTTGACAAGTCCCAGCTGTCCAACAGGAGAAGATGCCACAATTGGCAGAGAAGACAGAATGATAGAGTTGGATTAATTGTTGTGAATGCATCCAGGAGATTTTACTGTGCTTGGTGTTTCTGGGTTCCCCACAAGTGTTTGACCTTTGTCAGTCACACATGGCTGAGGTGTGGGTGAGTGCTGAACCGTGCTGTSTGTTCTGTGCACCAACTGCCCAGCTCACAAGCTGTGTTCTCACTGCCCTCCCTTCTCTTCCTTCCTCAACAGGCTCACAGACCCCATCCCCACAACAGAAACGTCCATAGCACCCCGCCAGAGACCTAAAGCAGGACAGACCCAGCCCAACCCTGGAATTCTGCCCATCCAGCCAGCCCTGACGCCCAGGAAGAGAGCCACGGCCCAGGCAGCCATTCAGCCCCAGGGTGAGCAACATGTCTGTGTGGTTCCTGCATGGCTGTGTGCCTCAGGGCTGTGCTGCACACTGACCTAACACCGTGTTTCTCGTTGCAGTTGCAGGCCCAGCTGCCCTGGGCAGTGCTCAGCCCTCGGTCCCTGCCAGTGCCCCCCAGCCCAAGGCAGCCCCCCAGCAGCCTGCAGCCCAGCCCCAGGCCAAGCCAGCCCCAGCCCCCCAGGCACAGCCCCAGGTCCCTGCAGCACAGCCCCAGGCCACCCCTCAGCATCAGCAGCAACTTTTCCTCAAGCAGCAGCTCCTGCAGCAGCAGCAGCAGCAACAACAGCAGCAGCAGGCTGCCTACTTCCAACAGCAGCAGCAGATGATGCAGGCACAGCAGGTGGGTGTATGCGGCCGGGTTCATCACATCTCTGTGTCTGCAAGGCTGGAGCTTTGTGTTTATAACAAAGTTCCTGTTTTTTTTGAGGGAATAGGTGAAGTTTTTTGGCATTTTCAGTGTGTCCCCCCAAGTCCTCTAGCAAGATTTGCTCTCTACAAATACCTGAAAGGAGGTTGTAATGAGGGGAGGTTGTCTTTTCACTTGAAACATGGCAGAAAAGACCAGGAGGAAACAACCTCAAGCTGTGCCAGAGRAAGTTTAGATTAGATGTAAGAGAAAACTTTGTCACTGAAARGGGTCAGGCATTGGAATGAGTTGCCCAGGGARGTGGTGGAGTTGCTGTCTCTGGGAGTGTTCAGGAGGCATCTGGATGTGGCACATGGGGACATGGTTTWGGGGTGACAATGGTGCTGTTGGACTYAAWGATCTTGAAGGTCTCTTGTAGCCTTGATGACTCTGGTTTGCTTTTTGCTACATAGAGCTGGTATTTGTAGCTGCCAGTGTGGAAATTCTTGGGCTGTTGAGTGCAAACGTAAAATCAGCTGTGCTGGTTGAGGTGTTACAGCTCCAAGTGTTTCAGGGTCTTGAGGTCGATACTCATCTGATGAGCAGGGGGTACAATTTCTCTTCTGCTATGAGAGGCCTTGTGTGCTTTTGCAGAGGTCAGAGTTGGGTCTGGTTTTTGGCAGATTCTGATAAGGAGTTCCCTGAACACGTGATAAGTTACACAGAGATGACACTCASGTGCTCATCTAAAGTGTTCCTAGTRGCACAGATCTCTGCTAAAGTGTGTTTAACAGGGTAAGCAAAAGAGCAGTGAGTCCTCCTATCCTGGGGAAAGGATGTGCATGTGTTAGAGGAGGTCTAAAGGAAGCCATGGAGATGATTTGGGGGCTGGAGCATCTCTRCTAAGGAGACAAACTGGGAGAACTGGAGGTGCTCAGCCTGGAGAAGTTTCTTTGAGACCTTACTGTTGTCTTCCAGTGTCTAAATGAGCTTTTAAAAAGGAGTGAGAGAGACTTTTGGTATGGGCAGATAGTGACAGGAMAATGAGGGGATGGTTTTGAGCTGCCAGAGGGCAGGGTTAGATGGGATACTGGGAAGGAATCCTTCTCTGTGAGGGTGGGCAAGCCCTGGCACAGGGTGCCCAGAGCAGCTGTGGCTGTTCCTGGCAGTGTCTGAGAATGGGGTTTGGAGAGCCCTGGGATAGTGGGAGGTGTCTCTGCCATGGCAAGGTGTGGAGTGAGGAACTAGATGGTCTGTAAGATCCCTTTCAGCCCCAATCATTCCGTTGTTCTGTGAAAGTTTCAGAACTGATAAAAATGGAGCAGGGATTTTGGGACCACAGGAGAGTCTGTGCCGTGGGAGTCCCTTCTGGGCAGTGTTCTGTGTTAGACCAGAAGGTTCCTCCAGCCCTCTGCAGTTGGTCTCTAGGCTACTGCTTGGAGATTACCTGTAACCAGTGCTGTGCTGGCCCCTGGTCCTGTGGACGTTCCCAGTTCCCACCACCCACCCATCATCTCAACCAGTGGTTGTTTCCCAGTTCCCATTGATGCTCCCCAGTCCTGTGGAGGTTCTCAGTTCCCACCACCCATCCACCCTCTCAACCAGTGGTTGTTTCCCAGTTCCCATTGATGCTCCCCAGTCCTGTGGAGGTTCTCAGTTCCCACCACCCATCCACCCTCTCAAGCAGCGGTTGTTTCCCAGTTCCCAGTGATGCAGCAAGGAGCACCTGCACAGCAGCAGCTGATGCAGAACTACTACCAGCAGCAGCAGCAGCAGCAGCTGATGGCCCAGCAGGCAGCCATGCAGCAGAAGACCACAGCAGCAGCAGCAGCAGCAGCTCAGCAGAAGCAGCAGCCTCCAGTGCAGCCCCAGGCCCAGCCCAGTGCGACACCGCCGGCACAGCCACAGGAGCAGGGGGTGAGACCTTGGGGGAAGGAATGGGCACTGCCACTTGGGCTGCTGGCAAATGCTCCTCTGCCAGGTCCTGCATGTTGGGGACACCTCAGCTGGCTTTTCARACCCACAGAGCCCAGATAACAGATGCCAGGAGAGGTTTGGGTTGGATATTAATAATARTAATTTCTTYACCCAAAGGGYTGTCTAGCTCTGGCACARCTGTCTAGGACAGGGGTGSATACSCCATTCCTGRGGGAATTCAAYARATGTTTAGATGTGGCACTTGGGTGCATGGGTTATTGATGGCCTTTGTAGTTCTGGAGAAATGTTTGGACTTCATGACTTTAGAGGGCTTTTCTGACCCAAACAATTCCATAGTTCTGGGGCCTGCTTAGTAATAACTCAGTCATTACTGAGTCACAGGTGTCGGTGCTGACCTTACTGCCTCAGAGGTGTGCRGTTGTTTGGATTTCTCATTCCAGCAGGATGCTGGATTCCAGAATTGTGCTCTAGGTTCATAGAAAGAAGATGAGTAATGGGTGAGTAGAAAGCAGTTGAGGAAATCTTAAGTAGCTGTTTGGTGCAGCTTTTTTCCCTCCCCTGTCACATTGCCATAGAAGACATGGGAGAAACTCTTCTGAAAAATATTTGTACTTAATACACCAGGATAGGCAGCAGGCACCAGAACTACTTGATGTTGCAGCTTGTTGGGAAAACTTCTGTCTGATATTTAAAGGAAGACATAAACAGCTTCCTGGTTGTTTGCAGCATTTGGTTAGCTTTTTAAGAAATGCAATGGGAAGGAGACTTTTCGAAGGAGACTTTTGAAAGCACTGTATCTAAAAATAAATAAATCAATCATCCACTTTACTAATCATCTGAACATGCACCTAAAATAAATGCTCTTTACTTGATGGAAAATATATCTGTGTGCAGAGGAACAGGCAACTGCCCGTAGGGAGAGGCAGGGAGCTGTGCCAGAGGGCCAAAGTGCTCTGCAGTGCAGTGGGAGGAAGCTGTGCCTCTTGCTTCAACTCCTGTGCAGTGCCATTCACTCTTGCCTGCTCCGAGGGCTGTCCCTAATTCCAGCTGTGTGCTGGGAGGAAACCTGGGCACCAGACACGAGGAGGCTGCCTGTGTTTGTGCTGTGCCAGGCTGCAGATGTGCAAAGCAAGCRGTGTCTGATGACAGCKCACTTSAGGTGCTTGTCCCTGSCAGTGTTCAGGGCCAGGCTGGATGGGGTGAGTGGCACCCCTGCCCATGGCACAGCATAGAACTAGATGATCTTTCAGGTCCCTTCCAACCCAAACCATTGCATGATTCTGTTATTTCAAAGGTACACAGCTGTTTGAGTCCAGGCTAAGGGKCACTCTGTGCTGGCTTGTTTGTGAGCTGCCATGACACAGTTAATTCCCCTCTCCAACATGTTTCCCAGGCAGTGACATCAGGAGTTCATTTGACTAATAAACTGCATAATCCATGACCTGAGTGGTGCTGGGGCAGCTGTTTGCTCTGCTCTCTGATGTGTTTTAGGGCTCTGCCATGTCCCTCCTTTGCTGTTTCATTTCCAGCCCTGGGTGGGCGACGCGCTCAGAGCTGTTGTGTTCCTGATCTTGTTCCTGCACTGGTGAATGACCTGGGGCAGGTCAKTTTATTGAAGTTAGTGAGAGATTTTCAGTACATGCAGGTTTTGAGTGAGGCCCATTATTATGCTGTTCCTTTTAAAGCAGAAATGCCTCAAATGGAGCACTGAATCAGGAGCTTTGCTGTGATTTGCTAGCAAAAGAACTGTCTTAATTTTATTAAATCAGCTGGCTTGAAAATCAGCCTTRTTCCCTTCGTAGGCTGATCAGAATGGATGCATCTGGACACTTTTCTGCTCCTGCAGCAGTCAGGAGGGAAAAAACAGTAGTTGGCTCATTTAAAAAATGATGGTGAAACCCGGTCTCTGCAGAGCAGAGTCTCTGAGCAGAAGATTCCTAGCCAGGACCTGTCAAAACCTTTTCACGTTAGGAGATTTCAGCTTAATAAGCTCYGCCTTCATTTCTGTGGCGATTTCGGCGCTGTCTGTTTCTCTCTGAGCACCAAATGTCCTGTTCTGCAGTGACCTACATAGGGAGGTGGGTGCATGGGGAGCAGGCAGGTCACTCTGCCTCTCTGCTGTCAGTGAGTGTGCCTGAAATGCCAGAGGAAAAGCAGGACAGCTCCCTGTTTTTTGACTTCTCCCACTGGGCCTGTAACCCCCTCCTGTTGCCCTCTTAGGTCTCTCCAAATCCTTCATCTTGGTTGGAGAAGGCCTGGGAACAGGGAGGTACTGCCCAGGCAGGGGAGGTGACATGCACAGCTTGCTGCTCCTTGCATTCCAGTTCTCCTGCTTTAAACCCTTGATACCTCACTGACAGACATTGTGAAAAATCACAGTCACAAGTGGCGCTGTTGTTTTTCTCTATAAAACCATTTTTCACATATTTATGGGTTTGTGAATATAACACAAGACTAAGGCAATGGAAAAATAAAATCAGTGTGAGGAAACCCATTGCAGTTTCCAAAGGSTTTGTAGCTGGGTTGTCTTGGCTCACACATAAACCAAATCTTCCTAGTTTTCTCCTCCGAATTTTAATGACAAACGTTGCTTCTGTGGTCCTTGCTTTCTTTTATTTTTCCTTCCCCCTAAGYAAAAGGTTTTACACAGGATTTCTGCACAAGACCTCCACCCCTTTATGCATTTGACCCCAGTCACGTTACCTGCTAAAGGCAGTGCTGTCTTTCACCTTCTCCCCACTCAGCGTGTCCCTGTGACAAGACTCCTGTGCACTGTGATCTGGGTTCACCTCTGCTCTGTATCTTGGCCTCTCTACCCTTGAGCAGGTTTGAGCCCAGGCAGCCTTTACCAAGTCCTAACAGAGGTTTTACCTCCAGAGCTGCACCACAGAAAGGGGAGAGAGAATCTGCCTGTGCAGTAATGCTCAAACACTGCAGAGCAGCAAATGCCCCCCGACACGATTCCTTTGTTTGTCTGGGTTTTCCCCTCCAGACCGTTCCTGTCCATGACTCCAAGGTCGGGTCCTCCAGCACRCAGCTATTTTCTCCTCGCAGCTGCTGTTCCCAACCAAGGATGCTGTGCTTTCTCCCTCTGGCAGGCACAGGCCCAGGCCCAGGCACAAGCGAGGCAGCAGCAGCCGCAGCAGAAGGCTCAGGGCACAGCCCCAGCACAGGGGCAGAAGCAGGGCTCGCTCACGCCRCCGTCCTCGCCCAAGGCACAGCGCGCCGGGCACCGCCGCATCCTCAGCGATGTCACCCACAGCGCCGTGTTCGGAGTGCCCGCCAGCAAATCCACACAGCTCCTGCAGGCAGCTGCTGCTGAGGCCAGCCTCAACAAATCCAAGTAGGTGCTCTGGGATTGCTGTGGGGTCAGCCCCAACAAATCCAAGTAGGTGTTCTGGGATTGCTGTGGGGTCAGCCTCAACAAATCCAAATAGGTGCCCAAGGATTTGGTGTGTGGGGTCAGCCTCAACAAATCCAAATAAGTGCCCAGGGATTGATAAGGGGTCAGCCTCAACAAGTCCAAGTAGGTGCCCAGGATCTCAGTGTGGGGTTCAGCCTCAACAAATCCAAGTAGGTGCTCTGGGATTGGTGTGGGATCAGCCTCAACAAATCCAAGTAGGTGCTCTGGGATTGGTGTGGGGTCAGCCTCAACAAGTCCAAGTAGGTGCTCTGGGATTGCTGTGGGGTCAGCCCCAACAAATCCAGATAGGTGCCCAAGGATTTGGTGTGTGGGGTCAGCCTCAACAAATCCAAGTAGGTGTTCTGGGATTGGTGTGAGGTCAGCCCCAACAAATCCAAGTAGGTGCTCTGGGATTGGTGTGGGGTCAGCCTCAACAAGTCCAAGTATGTGCCCAAGGACTCGGTGTGGGGGGTCAGCCTCAACAAGTCCAAGTAGATGCCCAAGGACTTGGGGTGGTTGGAAAACTGGGTCAGGCTCTGAGAGGTGTCCAACACAAAACTCCGAATGGCACAAAACTCTGAGTTCTGAGTGAGTCTTTGCCTTCAAGGCCTCAGTTTAGGGTTTGGCAGAAAGTGCTGAAAAATTTGCCCCAAAGTCCTCATGAGTCCTCTGTACTCCTCAAAAGCTTTGAATGAGCAGGGCGTACTCTGGCTTATAAAACCAGTGTCATTTCAACCCTTCACCAGTAGCCCTGATGTGCACTTCATTCTCAATGCTTGGTCCTTGTGCTTTCTGAAGGCTGGACTTGATGGTCTTAGAGATCTTTTGCAACCTTAATGGAGCTGTGATTCCCTAGGAGTACTTGCTAGACTACTTTTACAGTGTCTACAGGCAAGAAGCCTTTGTCTGGGCACTGCTGACAGCTGCTCCCTTTGGGATGCTCAGGATGCTGTTTTTAACCCCTGCATGCCCAACTTGCTGAAGAGCAGATGAGGCTGAGTCTCCCAAGCTCCTGAGTGTGCGACTGCAGTAACTTCTACTGAATGTTTGATTTGCGAAATCATTAGGTGCAGTAGCTTGGAGCAGCTGATAGTGCTGGCCAGAGGTTTTCAGGTGGGTGATTAATGGCTCTTGTTTGGGKTGATCATGTCCAGGTCTGCTTCCACCACACCCTCGGGCTCGCCAAGGACCTCGCAGCAGAATGTCTACAACCCTCCCGATGTCTCCACGTGGAACCCCTTTGATGAYGACAACTTCTCCAAGCTCACAGCTGAGGAGCTGCTGAACAAGGACTTTGCAAAGCTGGGGGACGGTAGGTCCATGGGCTGGTTTAACCAACCCCTGCCTGCTCTGGAAGGGAAGGTGCCATGGGATGGGGATGCTTTTGGGCAGGGGCTGCTTGCATGCCCCATATTATTACAGTCCTCTGCYTAAATCCTTGGGATTTCTTTCTGTTTGCAATTCAGTGGTGCCTCAAATGCAGAAGTTTCAGCTGCTTTGGCAGTAYTCTTCCTCAGTTGCCTGTGGAAGCTGCAGTTTAAACTCTGCTTCATCTGCAAGTTGGAATTTGCACGAAGGGACTTAAATCACATAGTGAACAGTGTCCTAAAAATATAGATAAGCAACCTACTTTCAGAGTGGAAGTTTTTCCYTTAACTCTGTGTGCATTCCAGGGAAAGCTCCAGAAAAGACGGGCAGTTCCACAGAGAACTTGATGCCAGGTTTCCAGCCCGCTTCGTCTGCAGCCCAGGCAGATGCGTTTGGTGGCTCTTCCTTCACTGCTGGGGCAGGTGAGTCTGGGAGCATGAACCATATGGAATGGCAGCTCTTGGCCATAACATAYTTGAAAGGAATTAAAACTGATAGAAACTGAGCTGGGCCTTGGCACTGAGAGCTGCAGGGAATAGGGTTGTCACTTCAGTACAGGAGGGAAGGTACGAAAGATGCATTCCCTTGTCACAGCTGAGTGGCAGAGACAGGASACACTGTCTGGAGGCAGAGGTGGGGCTTGTGGTGAGGGAAGAAACTGAAGGAGCACCTGAAGTTCCAAGGAAGCTTTCTCAGTGTGTGGAAGTTCATGGAGCCCATGATGAGTAGTAAAACCTGTCATGCGCAGTGAGGGAATTGGCTCAGAGGTGTTGGTCAGAGCGRCTGGAGCTGCCAGGCTGTGTGGAGYAGCAGAGGAACAGGGATAATAATGTCTCTGCTGCAGAATGAGGACAGCAGGGATGAGTGAGCAGGGAAGGTGCTTGGAGGAGAGCACAGTTCTTCCCTTAATTGGCATGTTAAATGATAAAGGCAGTAAGTTCTGCACTGCCTGGACTGTGTGGGTCCAGAGCCCTTGGCTGGTCTAAAGAATTTCTGTGCAGAAGCTGCTGCAGGTGGGAACTTGTCTGGTGTCTCCTTTGGTCTTTGTGTCACAAGGTTTTGCTGTGAGCAGCCCCTTCTGTGCCAAAACCCCTCAGTGAGTGCTGCTGCTCGTTTCTAATCCTTCAGCATCACCTCCTTATGGAATGCAGCACTGGCGAGCACAGTGGTGGAAAGCTGCTCCCAGGAGCTCCAAATGCCAGGGATCCTCCCCCTTCCTTGTGCAGCCCTTGCTGTTGGTGACAGATGCAGCCTCCCCACAGAACCAAAACAACCTCTGGTTAGAGGAGTCTGGGAAGAGACTGAAGAATCCTTTGTGGGGCAAGGCGTGACAAATCCATTTATGCTTAATTTCTATTTATAAAAGGAGATTTAGAGGAGCTTATAACTGAGCTTGATATGTTTTTACCTAAAAATTAGGGAGTTGAAGTCCCCGACGCAGGAGTGCTCAGGGGAGTTTACTTTCTGAGTTTGTCTGTCTTTGAGCAGTTCACATCAGTGAACTTTGAGCAGTTCTCTCAGCCTTTGTGGATGATGTTGAGCAGCAGCAGCTCCACATTCAGCTGAAATGCACCTTCTGCAAAGCATGAGGAGTATCTGTGTGTCCTAGGCTTCGTGKTTGCTGTACCACGTTCAGTTCTTTCAGTGTCTGACTTTACAATGTGCCCCTTGACTCTCCAGTACAGGATTTGGTGTAGGAAGGTGTCTTGGAAATCCTGGTGCTGGGCTGAGCACACAGAGCCCTTCTCTGTCTTTTCTCAGAGACAGGAGCTTGTTCCAGCCTGGCTGGTGCACGATGCTGCATCTTTYACTGCACACACAGAGGCGCCATGTGGGCTCTGTGTCCTTTGGGAGGCCTTTCACCTTCTGTGAAGAGAGATGACAGTTCTTCCCTGCCAGGGAATGTTCTGAGATGTGTGGGTTAAATTGTGTTGGAGAGGTACATGCAATCAGCTGTTTGGTTTTGTTTTTTTATTCTCTTTAGTAGCTACATACACTTGGTCAGAGTGTKCCTGTGTGTGGTTGTGTCAGGCTGGAGCTGGGCTGTGCCTGTGCTGAGATTTTGCTCTGTTTACTCCTTTCCTCTTTTCTGTTCACTCTGCCTTTTCTTTTCCTTTCCTCTTCTCTACCAGCTGAAAAAACGAAAGACATTCTGAGTTTGGACTCTAGCCCTCCTCTTCTGACTGTGCCTGATCCTTTCATTCCTCTCCCGTTATCCGACACTCCAGGTAACCATCGCTGAGGGGATGGAAGGGGGGCAGGCTCTTGGGGTTTGTTTGTCCTCTGAATCTCCTGGTTTTGTTTGTAGGCACATCTGAAATCCTGGGCACTGCCAGGCTCTGTGGAATTTCTTGGCAGTGGGGATGTGAGCACTTGGTTTTCGGGATTATCTCAGTTTCCAATGCCAGAAATGTTGGTGTCTTTAAAAGGTTCAGCATTCTAAGCCAAAAATGATCAGAGGGCTGGAGCACCTCTCCTAGGAGGGAAAGCTGAGACAGTTGGAGTTGTTCAGCCTGGAGCAGAAGAGGCTCCAGGGAGCCTCGGAGCCCTTTCCGGGGCCTAAAGGGGTTCCAAGAGAGCTGGAAAGGGACTGGGGACAAGGGATGGAGGGACAGGACACAGGGAATGGCTTCCCAGTGCCAGAGGGAAGGGTTGGATGGGATATTGGGAAGGAATTGTTCCCTGTGAGGGTGGGAAAGCCCTGGCACAGGGTGCCCAGAGAAGCTATGGCTGCCCCTGGATCCCTGGCACTGTCCAAAGCCAGGCTGGACATTGGGGACAGTGGAAGGTGTCCCTGCCCCTGGCAGGGGTAGGACTGGATGTGCTTTAAGGTCTCTTCCAACGAACCATTCTGTGATTTCTATGAGAAATAATTGCTAGGTAATTAATTACCTGTTTCTAAATTGTCTCCAACTTTGAAAGTGTAGGTTTTATTATTGYTGATCTTTCTTTCCTGCAAGAGTCAGTATTTCTTTGGCTTCCAAAGTCTGTTGAATCATATGAAGCYSAAGTTACATGTGACCTTTTCTGATTTGGCAGGATTTTCTAGTGCAGTTGGTGCTATTTCATTTACTTTGCAGTGCTGCTTCTAAGCYTTTTCCTCCATGCACATTTCTGACTTCAGCAGCCAGCACTTTTTAGCACAAGATTATGTAAGTGCTTAGGAACTTATTTGGAAATTGGTGCCATTTGGAATATGGAAATGTTTTTGTCTGGGAGTCTCCCTCAGCCCTTTGGTAAATGTGTGTGGCAGGGCCCGTGTCAGTAATCCCAGAGCACAACTGCAGCTCCCAMCCTTGTCTTTAGCCCAGGCTCTGGATCACAGTGATTTTAAGGACCCAAACTTCAGAATGTGCTATGAAGATGGCAGCTCTCCATGGAGAGTTGAGCAATTCARGAAAAGAAATAAACCTCTTCTTTTCTATAACTGTGGAACTTGCTTCCTTCTGGTGGATGCTCCAAGAGCAGAAGAAATATGGTTTGGTCTAAAAGAGATTTTATTCATAAATGCAGTTTAAGAGTAGAAACAGAACTTTGAGTTTTTGTTCCTTGTGTGAGCACTGCCAGGAGCTGACCTGCTCAGCTCTACCTTGAAAACAGCCCACAGAAGGCAGCTGACTGCACATTTTCCTTCTTGCTTTCCCTCCAAATGCTACTGGAAGTGTTGGTTGTCCTGACTGAAGTCACCCATGCCATTTATTTCCCTGCCAGCATCCTCAGCTCACAGTTGGACACCACTGTGATGTTTCCCTTCTTGCCTGTTGCGTTTCCACAGAGCAGGACCACATGGAGCAGCAGTTGCAGCCTCAGCTGTGGGAGCTCTGGAATTCTCTGCAGTAGAGGGACCCCTGTGGGGGAATTGTCAGCCCTGCCCTTGGGGCAGTTCACCAGAGCAGCACTGGATGCAGGTTTTGTGGTGCTTGGTTGCTTGTCYTGCAGATTGGACCCTGCCTGGTTGTGGATCTCTGCAGGCAGAGCTAAACCTGCCTTGCTGCTCTTCCTGCTGCCTGTGATCCTGTTCAGTGCAGTGGATCCTCTTCCTTGGGGGACAAGACACTCAGGAAACGTGGTTTTGTTGGCCCTGAAGGTTTCTGCAAAGATACCTTTCATCTGTTTGTTCATTTTAAAGTAAAACCTGAGGCCASGAGCTCATGGATATTTTTAAGGACCAGGGCTACAGACCAGTGCTTAGCTTTGRAACTAAGAGGGGTTGTCTGCTTGTAAATTCAGCAGAAAAGATCAAACTCCTGGATTTGAACTCAGGTTTTYAGTCTGTGTGTGTGATCCAGAACAGTGTCATGTTTGTTCTCCTGTGTCTGTGTCCCTGTGCAGGAACATTCCTGGCACAGAGAGGGCCTGGCTGTGCTGGTGGCAGCTCAGAGGTGTTTGCAGTGGTGCCCGTGGCTCAGCAGAGCTGGCACTGACTCCAGTCTCCAGTGCAGCACCTTGCCAGGCTGTCTCAGTTCTGGGCAGGAGCAGCTGAATTTCCTCAAATATTTGCTGAATATTTTCTTTCGGTTTGGGATATTTAATCCTGAGAAAACTTAGATAGTGAATCTTCTTGCATTGAGAACACTTTACATCTGTCTTTATCACCTGTGAAGATGCACAGCCTTTTCAGAAGTGGAAGTGTGAGCCTTCACACTGTGCCTACAGGGCAGTGTTGCTCAGGGAGGGTTTCAGTACATGRGTGAGGTTTTATTGGGTATTTTCCCAATAAAATTTCCCCCAGATCCAGTTCTGGGGTCTCAACCCTCTAAACATGCAGCAGCTGAGGGACTGAGTAAAACTCAGCTGCTTTCCTCCTTTTGGCACCTGAAGGTGCAGGTGGTGTCACCTGAGGGTTGATAAGAGACCTGCTTGGCCTCTTCCACCTTCCCTCTGCATTCAGAAGGACAGATGTAGTTGAGTGACAGTAGGTGCTTTTCAGTGTATTTCTCCTCTTCCATGGCTGCCGTTCTTAATGGAATTGTAACTAGTAAGAGGAGCTGGCAAGAGGGATGTAAAAATATGGTAAAACGTCTGTTAAAATAAGGGAAAATTAAATATTCATGCTGAAAACATATTTCCTTGTGTATGTGCAGGAAAATGAGCCAAGTTCTTCTTAATGGGCTTATTTCAGGCTTCACCACTGAYTAATCATGGGGTGTTGGTCAGGGGAGCTCTGTCCATGGGACCACTAAATGTCCATCCACATGAACTGAGCTCCTGGAAGCACAGGACGCTACACTTCACACAGGGTGTTCTGAGACCTGAAATTAAATCAAGTCATGAAGGTTCAGGACAGATCTTTGCATCGAGGCTTCATTCCCTGAATGGTCCCAAGTATGCAGTTTCAAACCTGCTGTGCAGAGGTATTGACCCAGATCACAAGATGCTGCTCTTGCCCATTACCCAGCTGAAGTGCTGCCTTGAGTTACCTGCACTCAGCCATCCATTGGTGCCAGGGGAGGTTTCAGACACATCCTTTTGTCTCCAGAAGCAGCTGCTCAGATCAACCAATTTTTGAGTGGGTGATGGCTGAGCCCAGTGAAACGCCCTCAGAGATACTGCTGAAAATATTCCTTGCAGTTTTTTGAGGATGGGTTGGTTTGGGGTGGGAGTGGGGTGTCTCCTCCATCCTATTTCCAGGTCTTCTCCCAGGTGCCCTGTGCTGTCTGTGGTCCTGGTGTATTTTGATGCCTGCCCAGGGAGGGGATGAGGAGCGGGGGTGGGACAAGCATAGCAAGCACGAGGAGCTGAGCAGCAGCAGCAGTGGGGGTGAGAGCTGGGGGTGAGAGCAGCTCAGCTTGTTCTGTATGGAAAACAACCCCCTGAGCTGGGAGTCTGTGTGTCCCAGCGTGTCCATGTGTGTTCCAATGTGTCCATGTGTGTTCCAGTCCCGTGTGTTCCAATGTGTCCATGTGTGTCCCTGTGTGTTCCAGTCCGTGTTCCAGTTTGGTGTATCTCAGCATGTCCCAGTGTGTTCCAGTCCTGTGTATCCTTGTGTGTGTTCCAGTCCCGTGTGTCCCAGCATGTCCCCGTGTGTCCCAGCATGTCCCCGTGTGTCCCAGCATGTCCCAGTGTGTCCCAGCGTGTCCCAGTGTGTCCCAGCGTGTCCCTGTGTGTCCCTGTGTGTTCCAGTCCAGTGTGTCCCAGCGTGTCCCCGTGTGTCCCAGCATGTCCCTGTGTGTCCCAGCATGTCCCCATGTGTCCCAGTCCCCATGTGTCCCTGTGTGTTCCAGTCCAGTGTGTCCCCATGAGGGGCACCGGTGCCCATCTCTGCTGAGTGTGATGCTACCTTGGCCCAATGAGTCACTTTTTTAGCAGAGAATCGATCATTATTTGTGAATTGACACAGCCCTTCCCTGCCTGCAGTAATTCAGCACCTTTGCTGAGGTTCAGGGACACGTGTGCCTGTGCTGGAGTGAGTTATTTGTTTGAGGAACAGCAGCACCAAGTGGCCTCTGCCATTGTCTTGCCCATAAAAAAMCCAGAGGAATTCCATGCACAGCTCAGTGAACGTGCAGGAATGGCTGGGATGCAAAGAAAAGCACKGTAGTGCCAGCTGGGCACATGCTGAATTCTCATTTTTGATGCAAAGGCAAAGTGTTGTTTTTCACAGTCACTGTCACGTTGGGGTTTTCCAAAGCCTTTAAACAGCACTTTAAGGATTATGTTTGCCTTTTTTTTTTTTTGTATTTCCTGCAAATACTCATGGGCTGTGTGTTTTCACATTAGCCTGAGAGGATGCTCATYGGGGTAAGGAAGTAGATGTCCTGCAGTGCTATTTCCAAAGAAAATGTGTCCACACCTGGCCTGATGGAGAGCTTGCTATCAGAAATGTGGGGCCCTGATAACCAGTCCTGCTCAAAATGGAATTGGCTTCAAAAATCAGGGTTTTAAGAAAAAAAATGKCTTTTTCTCACTGTGTTTGAATGTGTGGGCTTCAGGAGCTGAGATTCCAGCTTTGTCCCAAAGAAGCATGGAGAGCTGGAGATGAGTGTCAGGCTGGTGCAGTGTTTGAAGAACTGGAAGTGGGACAATCYGAGGTGCTGAGGTGACATTGCTGAAGGTGGCAGTTTGTAACACCTGGAAACATGGGCTGGGACTCCAGCCACTGACTCCAGCCTTGTCAAAACACACAGGTCCAGCTGCTAAACCAGGTCACTGTGATTGATGTAGAAGGGTCTTTTATTTTTTTGGAACAAAATACTTGATGAGATGTTTTGAATCACCATAACTCTAC